AAAGCTAGAAGACTGGAATTTTGAGGGGATGTTTCCTGACAGTTCTGGCGGCCAGTCTGAAATTTTTTTCAGCTAGAAGCATCTGCCGAAAAAACCGATGCCGGTAGCGACAGAAACTGCGGCGAACTCTGCAAAAAACGCATCTTCGCACGGGCAGCCCTAGAAGGATATGCCGAAAAACCGATGCCGGTAGCGACAACAACCTGCGAGGAACTCTGCAAAAAACGCATCTTCGCACGGGCAGCCCGTGCGTTGGCCATTTATTGTGTACTTGGCGCTTAGTGTTCAGCTGCATCTTTCCCCGTCTCCCTCGCCAATACTGTGCGCGAGCTACGCAGATCACTTTTCCTTTTGGGATTCTAGCGGAAGTTTACATTCCTGCTTTCCTTTGATAGATATATTGTGAGTGTGGCTGTCTTTGTAGGTGCATTGGCTTACTGCTGCTCATTTATTGCCGCACCGTATTGGAAAAGGGGGACGAGAAGGGGCGAGGGGAAGTGGGTAGGACGAGAAGAAAAAGATTTTTCTTTCCGGGAGGAAAATGACCAGTTTTCAGGAAATGCAGGTAGTGCACTTCGAATTTCTGAGACTAAGCAACTGCCCCATGGGCTCTTCTGGTCTTTCGGCTTCCCACTGATCTTTTTTCACTTTAATTTTCGGCAGCCAAAATCTTAGTGCCGTTTTATTATTCCACATCTCATGTTTACCTGCGCAATAAGAGGGGCGGAGGACGGCGGCGAGAAAAGCTGAATTGCCAAAGATGAGCATTTTGATAAGCGCACTAGATAAGCTGACGCCGGGTTGGGGAGACAGGAGAGGCCCTTTCGCTTTCCGGAAAGCACATTTGTTTTTCCTCCTGGAATTAAATTTATTTCATTCCAGCGTTATATTTTAATAATTATCATTGCATTAGCAGTTTTTTTCAAGCACTGTTCACTCCGTTCAGTGCTTTGTCCATCTGTTGCTTTGCTCTGGCACACTTCAAGCCGCATTAATGCGACAGCCAACCTTTGCACGGTCGCTGTCTGCATTGCTCAATGATCGGTCTGCTGCTTTTGCTTCTGCAGATCCTAGTGTAAAAAATTCGTCTTTTTGACGTACTTATTCGGCACATTGCCAGTAATACTGTCTCCATCTCACAGAATTTCCATAATTGCCTCCGGAAAAAATTATTACTGGGTAAAAGCACAAGATTGGTGGCTAGGTCACAACATGAAAAGTTGGGAATTGACTGTCTTTTAAAGCACTGAAGTGCTAGAGGAGCATGGGAACATCGCATCGCTGTAGTTTTAATGATTAGCACAGAGGTCAGGTTAGGAATCCATATAGGTTGGGTACTCGCCTTTCGCTTTCTCTGAGGATGTCCTCTGTTCCTTACCATTTTTTCCTCGCCGCTGCTCTTTAAAAAATATTGTACTTTAGAGTCATCCATATGACTCGTCAAAGTTATTGTCTTTTTTGTTTTTACTTGGTTCGAAAATGGCCTCTTTTTCGCATTCTATGCATTCCACTCGCTGTAAATATTGCCCTTTTACGGGCTATGCTTTTTAAGAAATATTCTTTTTTTTTTCTCAAATAACAAACATTCGAAGAGATGGGCATATTTTGTGAGTATTTTTGCATAATCTTGAAAATTCGTCAAGATTATAAGTGCGCGCCAACCGTACTGGACGTTATCTGTACTGCCGGTCTTCGCCAGTAATCAAAATTTATGTGCGCCGTAGATGTCATTTGCGCGAATTTACTAATGAACAGCTTTGTACGGAAGTTCCACGAACACATTGCTGGGGGATGAGAGTGCTTCAAAGTTTTGCTCCTCCCTTCTTTAAAGGGGCTCGATGTTGAAAGCAGTACAGCTAACAGCCCGTACACTTTTCGTCTGGCTAGCCGCGTGTTTTGCGCCGTTTGCCTGGCTGAGTAGCACGGGGGTGTTTGCTAATTGTCGATGACTATTAGGATTCCCGGAATTTGGGCATGTAAACAGTTTTGTGTAGCACCGTCCACATATGTTCTCTACATCCGTTTGGTCCTTAGGCCCTAGTTCATCCTCAGCTACATCCGTTTGGTCCTTAGGCCGTAGTTCATCCTCAGCTGAGTGTTACTGCTGTTCGATCGTGCCAAACATTCTAAATCATAATATTCCAGAAAATGTACATAGAATAGTTTTAATATTTAAGTCAGTATTTAAATAAGAGTAAAAAATATCACGGTTACTGTAGGTGCTCACTTATTTAGCTCTCGATGAGTGGGTGCTTTTATCCTAGTTAATGCTTAAATGCTTATACTAGTGGATCTTAGTGCACGAATCTTTTTGGAACGCTTGGCAGAAACCATAATTTTGCGTATGCTCAGCTCGCTTTAAGTTTTCACCTTTCAGGGCGTTCATTTGCGGGTGCGGAATGGCCATTTAATATGCAATTTACGGCAGATTCTCCTTCGATAGGTAATTATCCGAAGCCAATTGGATGGCGTATAAAACGGCGGTAAGTGATTTTTTCAGCTGTCAAAATGTAACATGATTTGTGGAATAATGAATCACTTCAAATATCCATTTTTTGGGAATCTAGAGCTGTGGAGGATGAATTTCGGTTTCTGTGGTAGAACTCGAACATTCTTTGGTCAGAAAGTGAGAGTAAACTGCGAAGATGAATTGCAGACAAAGCCGTTGAGGGCAATATCAAAAATGTGAAATCCTCAATTTTTAGCTCGCTTTCTCCTGAAACTGCAAGATTAGGACGAATTTAAACCAGAGTTACACTGGGATCTGAAACATAATTTCAAATTATTTACTTTGAACTGCCTAACAAATAGGTAACTAGGATCTTCAGTTTTTGCCCGTTTTGCTGCTGCAAATGTAGATTAAGTCGAAATTGGGATCGAAGATCACAAGTCGTAAAGTGGAAAATCTGGAGCTGTTTTTAGGTTTTTGGTCTCATACGCCAGTAGGAATTTATTCCCGCAGTTACAGCTTCTTCACAAGCTTGAATTTTTCGAGTAGACACTCACAGATCTGGTCCTCCCAGAATTCTTACTAACCTATGCAAAACGAATAAAAAAACCGTACCAAATTGCTGGTTTCTTGGATGCAAGAACTGGTGCAAAGTTTCTGATTTTTCAACGAACTGCATTTTGTGTAGGGAGGAGAAGACAGAGAGAAAGGGATTAGGGACGCTCGTTCTATTTAGTGCAGCAAGGACCGGGTGGGAGGGGTTTACTCTGTTTATGCCGAGATTTGCATAAATTAAACAGTGTATCTGGGAACGCACGTGAGCATGCGGATGCCTGGATATATGTGTGCAGACTGCGTGATGCCCACTCCCAGTTCGTCCGTACTTTAATATATGGGCTTCTGCTGGCCTGAAATACAGCTCAGCTGATCGAAATTACTGCTCAGTTCGGCGTGCAACTCAACAATCGGGAAATACTACCCGTTCGAGTCGAATTGTTGCCCATTTTGACTGAATTACTGCTAATTTTCATCTGTAATACCGGGCGAGTTTACCCGGACGACCTAAAATACTGCTAATTGTTCACGAAGTACTGTTGGGCTCAACTTGGACTGGGGTACTGTTCACTTTGGCGTGGTTGTACGGAGCTGCATTCGACTTGATGCTGCCAAATACTAAACAATTGTAGTTTGGTACTCCCATACCTACCTAGAATAAAAACTTGCATCTTTTCTCACTGCAGGGCCAATAGATGAGTTGTTTAACGGGGCTGATAACGGATACAGGTGCTCCGAGCTTGAGCCAACCTCACCTCCTGTCGAATAACTGAGGCAGCGACGGCGTCTGCTAGATACCTCCGAGTCCTCGTTACTTCAAAATCTCCTTGGATTTGTCATAGTATAACATGAGAATCCATCCAAAAGCAGGCACATCACCAGCATCATCATCGTCAGCATCACTGGGATCATCAGTCTTTTACATAAGCCGCGAATGTCATTATCCTCCGGCCGTTGTTGTTTCAGTACCTAGAACTGATACCGTTCATCCAGAAAACAAAACCAACGTATGCGTGCTTCAGTCGACCACACTACCGGCTCTTGGCAATGACAGCAATGGTACGGTGCCGTTGATCAGTATCAGCGATGCGGACAACAATCACAGTCGTTTAGCTGCTACATCTGCAGAGAAGCAGCCGCCCGTGGAAGTCGGCACTGCGAAGAAATCGGAAGCAAAATGTGGCTTATACGGCTCGACGCGCTATGTAATATTGCTGGTTGCAGTGCTGACAATGACCGCTGCGAGGGCCAACGAAATGACATTCAATTTGACCGTGATCTGCATGACCTCCAACTCAACCATCGATGGGGTACGCCTTTTCAGTTACTGCTCCTCATTTGTTGCAACGATTGCTGGCACTCTCATTACATGGTGTGGCACCGTTTCATTAGCCCTCACTTTAACGCAGCAACCAACCATACTACAGTTAAAGTAGCCAAATGCTGTACATGCTTCTGTGTTAGGATATAGAAAGAGCGATTGACTATAGAGTCCTGGAGCTGTACATGGCCGGAGGGGAGTTTACAGTGCTAGTGCTGAAGCAGAATAATCACGACAGACAGTTACGTATATATAAATTTAGTTAACGGCGTGCTATAGAATCGCCGGTGCACACATACGTTATGTTCAGTCTCATGCAGCCGGAAGAGCGTTAACAGTAAGAACATTCAATGTTTTACAGTTTAATGTGTGCACTTGTATTGGGGGTGTTCCTGCCCGGCTTTTTTTCCGTGTTTGGGAGAGAAAGGGGTCAGGACGCAGCTTTATAACTGCGAGTTGTGGTATTCGGCGCATAGCTCAAAAATTAGAAAAGGCATAAGCAAAAAAAAGTTGGACGTGTGAAAGGGGAGGGTGTAGTGAGTCAAAGTTAATTTCAGGTTTTTGAGGACTGGAGCACTGTCCCTGTTTTGATTTTTCACTTGAGATTTGCTGACCTGTGAACGATGTGTACGAACAGCACGTGACTGCTGCTCTTCGTGAACACTACTTGAGCAATTCCTGTTTTATGAAGTTTTTAACTTTGTTGCTATAGAGTTAAATTGTGAGTGGCCGCCGATCGGCGGTACTCCACCGATCGAGAATCGGCAATCACTGGTCGATGATTACTACTGAGCATTTATGATGCCCTAGGTGGAGCCGGTGGAGATGACGCCGGGCGAGATCAGCACCATCTTCGCGGGCGGAGGAATCGGTGCGATTGCGTTTGTGCTGCCGATCGCGTACGCGCTGCACCGGCTCGGGGCACGCAGCGTGTTCGGCATGCTGCTGCTCTTGTCGGCCGTGGGCACCGCGCTGATGCCGTACGCCGCACGTCTGGCTCTTCTCTGGATGGTCTCCATACGTATCGTACAGGGTTCGTTCGCTTCTTTTGCCTAGTGCTCGCGCCGTCCGATCTGCTGCGCTCGAAGCATTCCACTGTGCCCGCTACGATTCGCTATCCTCTTCTCGTGCAACGATTTTACTTCAACACGTCTGGAGAAGCGCAGCACCCGTAATTCGATTATGATGATGACAGACGATAATTATAAGATTGGGGAGGGGGGTCCCTCCCTGTTTTTGGTTTTTGGCCAAAAATCAAACCCACGCTGAAACGCACCAGGCTGTCCGGTGCGATCATGCGTTTTTGCACTAAACTCGCAGATCGTTATTAGCAAGAATGATCCCTACGCTGTAGTCTAACACTTGGGTTATATTGGCGTGCTTTGGTCCTTTCCGGCATACAGGAGGAAGGACGTCAATTGGGATGAAGGTGGTGCATTATAGAGCCGCACGAACATCCAGGTGCATGATTACCGGTTTGCATGAAGTCCGGTCGTTTTTCGGTAAATGCTCGCTCTGTGAAAAAATGACAAATGCAAATTTTTTGAAAAAATGCAAATTTCCATTCACTAAAAAAGTGGAGACATTGCTCGAGCGGTCATTTCACTTGCATATACATTTGCGACTCAGGCCCGAGTTGCTAACGATTTTTGGGTTGAGGGACTGCTTGAGGCTGTGGTTGGGGAGCTAGAGGGCTGAGTTTAAAATTCTTATCTCGCACGTGCATAGAGGATAACCCCGCAAAGTTTCAGCTTTCTACGTTGCCTGGTTCGCGAAATCGTTTCTCGCCTACATATTTCTTTGGGGGTCCCGTAAGCGAGGTCTAGGCGCGTATTGGGAAAAAACGGGAGGATGACACACGGGGTAGGAACATATATCCAAAGTTTCAGCCCCCCAATTTTCCTGGTTACTAAGATGAAAATGGGTGACAAAATGCACTCGCTTCCCGAACACACACATACAGACAGCCTCTCGACAGTATGCTGACTGTAGTAGCGCTACAGCACTGCTATAGCGTTGCACAGCAAAAACGCATAAAAACATCCCATTGCGTGGGGAGATAAGTATTTAGAAGTGGGCTGGAGGGACAAGACTTGACTAACTGCACCTGTTGGCACGGCTGTCGATGGCGCTTTCTTTCGGGATTGCTTGAATAGTGGCCTGCTACTGCGACGGACAGCACCATCTCGATCAGTTTCATTGGGACAGAGCAAAGAATTGTTTAGAATTACTCCAAAAATCACACAGGAAGACAATCATTTGGAGAAATACTTGGATCAGCTGTTCTGTTTTCCAGACAAAGCAGATGACAACCTTCACTGCTCTGACCAGTGCTGCATCGCCTGGTGGTCAGCGCGTTGGCAATCTTTGCGTTTTGTTGTTCTTCTGATAGGATTATCAGCACAACCATTCTCCCGATAGATGCACTTGGCAGCGCTTCAGTTGTGTGGGGATATTCTTGATGTGCACTGAGCATCACCACTCCGTCCTGAACACTGCCATTCCTGAAAGACAGTGATCTCGTTGTTACCGTTTAGGGGGTATCAACGGATACTCCAGCAACTATTGCAGTGGGGAAGATCAGTCCGATTCTAAAGTCTAAAGAGCGGAATGCAAATTCAAGCACACGCATTTTGAATGATGGTGAGGAAAGGAAGGGGAAGGGGAGTGCTTGTTTTGCTGTTATGTTCGCAGTAGCCGGTCATCTTTGCTCCGTAACTGAGAGCAAGCATTGATCCTCTCTCTAGGTTTCTCCAGAAACATCTGCTTGCAAGGGCTCACGCGTAGCCAGAAAAACACGACAGTAATGACGATGAGAATTTTTGCAGGTATAACTTTGGCTGCAGTGATGCCGATGATGGGATGTGTTAGTGCAAGCTGGGCTCCGATCGCCGAAATTGGTTATAAATTTTCTTTATTAATTCAGTGTTTAATGGGCGGGAGGGAGTAAGAACGGAGGGAAGCGCTACCTTCTTTTGCTATGACTACATACTTGAAAATCGGATGAGGTGGAGGGGAAAAACGTTTAAAAATTGGGCCAAGACGGGCAAAATTCCGTCACTTCGCAAAGTATTGCCAAAAAGTAGCGGCAAATTCGAGTCGCTAAAGTCGGCGCAGAATTAAATTGCATAAATCATTGGCGACGCGCACTGGGCGGGCCCGTGCGATCATGCGTTTGTGCATTGTTTCTTGCTGTAATAAGATCACTCGAAATTCCGGTAGATAGAAACCCCTGACATACATTTGCTGGAAGTTTCAGCCTTCTAGCTTCCCTGGTTGCGGGGTTAGCCATTTTCCCGCCAAGAATTTTCACGGGATCGTATGTGGCAATTACGGATAGCGGGAGGCTGAATTTGATAGATTTGAGTTGTAGATGAACTGGGAACATTCGCTGAAAGTTTCAGCCCCCCAGCTTTCTTGGTTCCCGAGCTAGCGATTTTCGCGCCAGGAACTCTCACGGGGCCGTACGCGGGAAACGCGCACACTTGGAAACTGAGTTTAAAATCTTTGAGTTTTTATATGGACGGGGAGCATAATCCCGAAATTCAGTTTTCTGGCTTTTCTGGTTCCCAATTTAGCGACTTTCCCGCCAAAACTTGAGGCGCCCGTACGCGGGGCCTAGACGTGCCTGAGGATTGGTACCGCGGTCCTGGAGTGGCACTTAACCGAGGTACCCCCTCGCAAAATTTTGGCGCCGGAGCTTGATTGGGGACGGACGCACGCAGTTGAAATACCTGAGCTGAAATACGCGGACAGACGCACACACACATACACACATGCACACACACACACACACACACACACACACAC